AAAAAAAAAAAAAAAAGCCAAATACTGAGTTCTAAATTCAATATTTTTTTGCTTTTATAGCTCCCCAAATAGTGATGAAGTCCAGGCAAAAAACAGGTTTTCTTTGTCTGCTCACATCCCTAGTTCCAGACTTAAAAGAAGTGGGCGTACAGTAAACCCTTGATTTAATGGATTAATAGGGGGTAAATGGTGTCCTTTAGACCTGATTGTCCATTATGGCAAATGAAATTTTACACAGGCACTCTTTGGTGAATGGATTGTGTTCTCTGGATCCAAACTCTGTCAAACAAGTCCAGTAAAGCTCCCTAGTATTGGGGAAAAAAAAAAAGTCTTATGGAACATTTTAATGTTGCAGAATTATAATGCAGGGTACCTGTTGCAGACAATCCAAAGTTTTGCAAATCTGTTTGATTCAGGTGATGGCTCAGTTGAGTTGCAGTTTTAAAGACATTTGACTGCATGACTGGCCAGAAACAAACTCACCTTCAGAAATAAATTCTGCAAGTTTTAGAAAACTACAGAATTTTCAGAGGATTTGCCAAAATATTGATTCAAGGCCTGCAACATAACTAGCCTTTCACACAGCTCCGAGATGAATTACTTCTTAATAGCACTGGATTTCTCAGGCTTCTATATCAAGCAAAAATAAACTGATAGGCATTTGGAAACAGGCAAACACACAGCCAAGCTAAGGATGCTAAACATAACCATATGAAAGAAGATTGCTTCCCTTTATGCCAAACTTCAAACCCTTTTTGAAGCCTGTAAATGTTAAGTAGCAGTTCAACATCACATAATAGGGACTTTTCAGAAGCGGGTACTGATTAAAAATACTTTTTTAAATTTAAAAAAATATCGTTAAATAAAATTATTTTCTGAAGAGCATTCAACGTGTCAAGTAACAGCAGCAAGCAACAACATCACTTTTCACCTGACCATATCTGTGCTAAGGCTTCCTTGAACTGCACTTCTCCGCTGCAGTTAGTGATGGAATTCCACTATGTAGCGGAGGGTGATAGCTGGGGATTATGGACCCTGAAGTCCCAGGCATCTGGAAGGAGGAAGCTGGGGGAAGGCTGTATGAAAAGCATAAACATATCTCACCTTTCTGCCATTCCAGTCTGCCAAGACAGCTTAAGGGAAAACCATGATCGCTTATGGGGTGAGTTAGAAAGAAAGAGGAACAATTGGGTTAGGGCACCTCCTTGGGAATCTGGTAGGGGTGTTGTGCTACAGAATCCATCTCCCCCAGCCAGTCCCGGGCTGGGCATGATGGGATTCATCGGGGCCCCTTCCATGTCTATGCAACCCTTCCTTGAAAAGCGAGATCAAGAGGGTTCTCCCAAGCGCTCACCTGAGTCTCCACAGGCACTTCCGCCAAGAACAGGTGGGGGCGGAGCCAGCGGGCGGGGGAGGAGTGGAACACGCCCACCTGCCAACCAAACTGCAAGGAATTTTGTTTCTAGGTCCCGCCTCTCTTCCTCCAGGCTGTAATTGGCTAAGCCTTGCCGCCACTCACCTCCGCCCCGCCTCCGTTCTCAGGCGGCCGCTCCAGCTGAGCGGGAGACTGGAGGAGCGTCACGTGGCTTCCCCACTCACACCCTGGGAAAGATCTTCCGAAGGACTTATAAAAGTAGACGTATCTATGGTGATCCAGATTCCGGGTTCATTTTTTTTAAAGTTTGTGAGCGGATGTAGTTTTTAGCATAGCAGTCCTTAAACCACAGTGGGGAAAAGTAACATGAGGGTTTCTCTCTGCCTGCCTATCCAGCCCTGCAAAACCCTAAACCTAGTATCAAATAAAGAAACAGAGTAATAAAAATGAAAGCTAGTGTTAGAATTACTGCTTGAACTGGGATCAAAGAGACAACAGGCAGTTGCATGAAATTAAGTTCTTTATTCTTCCCCCAAATCGAAAGCAATGATGGCAAGCTGTTAGGTGGGTGGCTGCACTTGACCCTCTCCTCTTGGCACATTCCATTCAGCCTCTCCTTTAAAATACCACCCCTTACTCAGTCACCCATTTCCCACCTCAGTATTATTCCATATTAGGAACTTCCTTCCTTCCTTGGCCCCCTTGACTGTTAGCTAAACACCTTTTCCCTCCGAAGAAACGATCCTTGGAATGTAGACCTTATCTTGTCTCTGTGGGGATGGCTTCTTATCTATCAAGCTTAGGGAAAAAGGTCTCCAGGCTTACAGACTTAAAGAAGAAAACAGGACACAGAAATCCTTAATGAAAGTCTAAATGCTTCAGGACTAAATATAAGAAAATATCTGTGTGTAAATATGACATATGAAATATATTTGTATGTAATCATATAAAATCTTCTATCACTAAGATATTAGTTATTTTGTTTAAACATTTCTTGTGCACGTCTACTCAGAAATATGTCCAACTGATTGTCATGGACTGCTACCCCTCGAATAGTGTCCCATATGATGTATTATTTCACCTCCCTGCCAAATGGGCTCTCTGTCTGGAGATGATGGGATTATACGTATTCCAAGACATCTGGCCAGAATGAGGTTGGGGAAGGCTGATGGAGACGGTTTGGGTTTTGGAAACGTGCAGGAGAATCGGTGGAACCATAGGTTTCTGTGGTCCATTGCTTAGTCCAGGTGCAACGCCATGAAAATGATGATGGTCTTGGGGGTGCACTACAGACAAAAATAAGATCAGCAAAGTAGATTGGGCTGCACTGGGAATCATCACACCATTTATTTCATTACTGGAGGTACATACTTAATTGGGAAATCAAAACAAGTCTCAGTGCAGTCTTTAACCAACCTGTTCATTGCAGTGGTCTGCAATGCAAGGCTGTTGCAAACTGTGCCCAGGCCACCCACAATTCCAGTTTTAATTGCTTTTGACATGAAAATCAAACTATTAATCCCCTATTTAGACAGATTATGATTTTGTCCTGCTTTTGCTACCTGGACACGCAGGAAGTATGTGCGTCTACAATTGACTTGCCCCTCTATAAGTGGCCTATCTCTATGGCTCTTCCACTTCACTGGAGTCTCCTTATTGCCCTGCAAAGCGAAAAAAATATATGCAAATTTGCTGTTCGAATTTCTCTGCATTTTTCTCCCACGCGATGGTGCTGTTGTCCAGCTGTTTCCCACCCTCCCCAACTTGCTGCCTTCATAAAAATATTGTTTCATAAGCAATGGCCCACCTACTGTTTTGGAAACAGATTTCGATGCTCGGGAAAAAAAAGACTTTATACTTTGATTATTAGTATGGGGATGAACTTTTGTTAAGGGGGTGGGGATGAATCTGAAATGGCAAGCTCGTGCAGCTGAGTCCACCAAGAGTTTCCATTGCAGGCTGGAATAAGCAGGAGAAAGGAGATGGCCAAGACTGATGGTGGGGCAACAAGATTAAAACATACAAAACTAAAGCAAACCAAATGTTATTAGGATCTCTCTAAATCAATGTTTCTCAATCTCAGTGACTTTAAGACCTGTGGACTTCAACTCCCAGAATTCCGCAGCCGGCAGGGCTGATGCTGATGCTGTGAACTGGAATCTTGTGAATTCAGCTTACGGATACCTTAAGAAGCTTGTGTAAAGCCCTCTCCGAAAGCTCTTCTGGGCTGCAGGCTTTTAAAAACAGAATTGAAAAAGAAGCCACCAGCGCCTGAACACAACCCGTAGAAATATCAGATGTGAAAACCACACTTGGAATCTCGGGATTCTAGTCCCAGGAAAGGAATCTGTAGAATTGGAAACGGCATAGCATCAAACATCCAAAGCAGTTTTCATGTGAGGAAAGGATATAATATTGTTCAGTTTTAACCTCAACAAAAAACCAAGGATAGGACACCAAGCAGCACCCACAGGTGCTTTTGGCAGAATGAGAAGGCCAGTATTGTGATGTTGCAGTGAAAGCGCTGCCCCTTTGGGTTGTGCATGAATGCAGACAGAAAAGGGTGTTGCTTGTGACACTGCTCATGTCATTCTGACCCCCCTCCCCTTGGGGTTCTTAATTTGGGGTCCATGGGGGATTTCAGGGGGGTTGTGACCTCGATTGATTGATTGTGCACCATCAAGTCTGTGTCAGCTCTTAGCAACCACATCGATTGATTTTCTCCATGACTGTCTGTCCCTAACCTGGTCTTCCAGGTATTCCAATGGCCTGCTCATCGCCACTGTAACTGAGTCTATCCTCCTTGCTTGTGAACGTGGGGGGAAAAAATCACAACTCTATTTTCACTAGCCTCTAACTGTAATTTAACTTGTTATTGATTTAATGGATTAATAAAGAAACACATTCGTTCCTATATTATGTATTTGTAATTTTTAAATATTTTGATAACTGTATTGGAGATAATAGGTTTGCTTTGCAAGCCAGTCTGTATCTATGTGTTTTATTTTACGCATTTAAATACATTACTCTAAGAAGAGGTCTCAAAGATTAAGAAATCCTGCTCTAAAGCTTCTGTACTGGATGGTGTGGTCCTGGTTTAGGGTGTGCAGGTCACAGTAAGTAAACTTTCATTAAACACTCTGACTTTGCTGTCCTTCCTTCTTCATAAGGTCACCAACTGGTGTGACATCTCCTACCAACTGCAACACAGATGGCATGTGACTTTGACCAGCAGCTTGACCTTCTGTTCAAAACTTGGTACCAACCCCAGCCTGGAAGAGGTGGCAGGAGAAGCAGAGCAAGAATGCTCTTTACCTTGATTTCTAATCTCATCAATCTCACTGGTTGGGAATCAGTGATCTAGTGAGTAAAGCTCTTGTGTTTCGCCTTGC